CTTTCCTAGGATCCCTCAGAGAAACAGGAAGTGGACGACAGGACTGAGGGAAAAGAGGAGGAGTCTGGAGACCAGTGGGGGATTGTTCCAGGATGAGAAGATTGTCCCATCACTAACGGAGAGGTTCCGTAAGTGCCACATCTAGTGCCAGGCCCAGATCCAGTGTGCCCTAAACCCTGCTACTCTTCCCAGCTGCAGGGTCAGAACTGGGAGCCAGCCCCGCCAGGAGTGGCAGAGCCTGGTGTCCCCAGTCCAGCCCTGAGGTCCTCCTGGAGTTACACTGGCCCAGGGGCCGACCTCGAGGGCGCGCCCTCCCCGCCCCAGACTGCAGAGGGGCACAGCAGGCATGGACAGCCTCCCCCACGGATGCCCTCCACAGTGCCACATGCCCGTCATGCCCAGCCAGCCAAGTGCCCAGCCCTCGGGTGCTGTCTCCACATGGCCAGCTCCACTGCCCTCCCCGCCACCAGAAACAAACTGCTCTGCAGACAGCGGGGTCTGGAGGCTCCCCTGGGGAGACAAAGGACAGTGCATTATAATTATATTTTCAATTAGCCGCTCACTTTGCTCCCGTACTCAGTAACCAAGATCCAGGAAGAAAAGGCCAATTTTAATCACGAGTTCCTCTCTGTGCACTAATGGGGTCAGACTCGGGTGCCTTTATTGCTGGGAGGCTCCGGGCGAAGCCAGTGCCCCAGGAAGATGTCTCCAGGCAAAGGGCAGGACTGGCACACACACACCTCCCGACAAGGGGCCTGGAGCCTCTGAGCCCACCTTTCAGGTCCCCTATGTCAAGTCTGCCCTAGGGAAACACCTGGCAGCAGGGAAGAATCTGGGTCCAAATGACTTTCCTTAATCAGGGCTTCTCATGGGACACGGATGGATGTCACTGCCTAGTTCTATTTGGTTTTTTGTGGGGTTTTTGGTACTGGGGATCAAACTTGGAACTCTGCGCTTGCCAGGCAGGCACCAGAACCACTGAGCTAAATCCCCAGCCCCTGCCTAATTCTATTAACAGCAATAATAATCACAGGATAGACGCCTGCAACACATCAGATGCTCTGTGACGCTCTTTCATGCCTTCTTTAACCCCAACTCTTCTTGACACAAGTGTGGTATTATGATCCCACCTTACAGATTCATTGCGTGAAGCTCAGAACAGTTAAGCAGCTTGCCTAAGGTTGCTGATGGGAAGTGGCAGGGCCAGGATTCAAAACCAGAGTATTCGGTTTGGGTTTGTTTTTATTGTTGTTTTTTGGTTTTGAGGCAGGGTCTCACTGTGTAGTCCAGGCTGACCTTGAACTCACTATGTAGACCAAGCTGGCCTCAAACTCACAGTGATCTTTCTGCCTCAGCTTCCTGAGTCCTAGGATTATAGGTGTGCACCATACCCACCTCAAAACCAGAGTATTCTAAACCACTCTGCCTGCTGCTCTGACATCCCACACGTGGTCCCATGAGCCCACTCGGCATGTTCGCCTTTCCTTAAGGACAAAGATGTGGGTGGCATGGGCCCTTCGGAAAAAGGTGACAGAGATCGAAGGTGCCGTGTGAGAGACCCGGGTCCCTGCACCCCTGGGCCTCTGACACTGGGACGGGACCTGCTGGTGAAGCTGAGGATCGAGACCCTTCTTGATTATTCTCAGATCTCAGATCAGCTCGCATCAAGAATGTCCCTGAAACTTCGTGGTCCCTTTAGGCTCCTCCGGAGACACCGGGGACATAATGGAGGGGCCGGAAATGCCAAGGGCAAGGCAGGCTTGGGCCAAGCCGGCTGCCGCGAATGTGGGCACCGACATCTGCCCACACAACCCCTGGGCACAGAGGCAAAGGTTGCCTCCTCCACCTGTGCAGCGGGCTGGAGATCCACGTTACAAAGCCAAAGCACCCTGTGCAGGGCGAGTGTGCCCGCCACCCGCTCCTTCCTTGTTTCCTGGCAACTCTCATTTTGTGGGGTGCTGGGTAAATCCATAATCAGCGAATGAGGCCGCGAACCTGAGCTCAGAGAGCCTCAAGTCCAAGCCATCCAAGCCATCGTGGCCGCTGGGGTCATAGCACGGGCGCAGTACCGTCCCAGCCCAGGGCTCCTGGGTGCCCTCACCCACTCTGCAGCCGGCCTTCCTCCTGCGTGTCCACGCCCAGCCTGCGTTCCGAAGCCGAGAGCGGCGTGGGAGACGCTTCCACGTGGGGGCGCTGGAGGGGCGCGGGAGGACGCGCGCTGGGGCCGGGGGCGGCATCGGGGTGCAGGGACCCAGATCGTTGGCTACGGACGACGAACCCTCGCTCCAGGGTTCCCCGTGAGGCAGCGGAGGCCCCACCGGCCCTCTCTAGCCCCCGCCATTCCCCCTCCAGGGTCCTGAGTCAAGGTGAAAGCGCAAGCGAGAGGAGAGCCGCGCGTTCGAATCCGAACTCCTGCCACTTCACCCCTCCCCGGAGCAGACTGAGCCGCGCGCGGGCCGAAGTCCCACCCCCTGCGGCCGCAGCAGGCGTCGGACAGGCCGCTTCCTCCCGCATCCCGCCCTCGTCTCGTTTCCCTCGGCTCTGCGAGGCCCCAGCTTTTTTCAATCCCTCCCTCCTGCGCCCTTTTTCTTCTGGGCTCCGCCGTCCCAGCCAAACCGCAGCCTTTAGCAATCCTGCGCCCATCCGGCGCCCCAGGAGCCTCGCCTCAGCGGCGACCCGCCCCGAGGCCAGATGCTGCCCCCGGCCCGCTCACCCAGGGGTCTGGGCAGCCGGAACCAGAACCTGCGCCTCGACCCGCCTCGCCCACGCGGACCTCGGACCCTCGAGCAGAGCCTGCCAGGGCCTGGCTCGCCGGGGGGGGGGTCGCGCCCGCCCTCCTCCGGGCTCGCCTTCCCCGGGGCGCTCCGGGCCAGGCTGTGCCCGGGTGGCCGAGGGCACCGGGCGGGGCTCCGGGCCTGCCAGTCCCAGCCTGACCGCAGCGGGAGAGCGACGCTCCAAATAGCCGTGGTTTGCAGCCCGTGCCCTGCCCGCTCCCGGCCTTCTGGGCTGCGGAGTTTTCTCTCCCTGATTCCCTCCACCCTGCGCTCTGGGCCCTGCCAAGGGCTCCCGAGTCCCGGCTGCGCCCACTCCACGTCCCTGTGGTCCCTCGCGGTGAGGTGGGGAGGCCAGCGCCGGCCGGTTGCTGGGCTCTAGTGATCGCAGTGCGTCAGGATCCACTGAGCGCGGTTCTGAGCTGGGGACTTTACCAGCAGGACTCATGCAGTCTTTACCGCGCCCTAGCCGGGCAGCTCCACGTTGCAGGAGGAGAAACTGAGGCTCAGATACCACTTGGGGCTAAGGTCACCCATTTGCACCTGCAGATGGAAGGCCTCCAGGTCCAAAGGCCTATGCTTCATTTGCCTCCAGGGCTGGACTCCAGGGCTGCAGGGTCGGGGTTAGTCTGCTGATTCTCAGAATAACCCCAGCCTGGCTCAGTCTCCATATCTGTAAAATGAATAGGATGAAAGGCAAAACTCTGTTTTGTGCAAGCAAAAACTTAACAGTGGAAACCCCAAAACTGCATGAGACATTAATTAGGTGCTCTGCCTTGAGGAGAATCGAGTGAGGGCTGGTGTGACAGCTTTCCTATTGTGCCCAGAGGAACCCTCAGGCTACCCCAGCTCTGGGAATTAGGTTGAGCCATGCAATCTGCAAGCCATAGGTTTAGGACCCACTAGCAATTGGTGAAAGGGGTATGGGGAGGGGCGTTGCCTCCCAGTGCTTCACACGCCCTTGTTTAGTTCTTCATTGGTAGGCCTGACTCAGCTGGTACATTTTATTTTTTGACCTACTATGTCCTGGGCACACATCTCTCACACCCTCCTTTCAGAAAGCTCCCGGCCCCTTCATCTACCCTGTGGCTGACTAGCAGCGTTGCCCCGAGGCCAGCACCTTCTCCTGGGGCTGTGGCCTCAGCACTCCCCCTAGGAGCTACCCTTGTGCCGTCCACAACCTGCATAACTTCTCACAGCAGCCACAGAGCTCCAAGTGGGAGGTAGTGGGAAAGAGTCCAATTAATTCTTGCTGGAGACAGAAAAACTCTAGCAAGGAGAGGAACAGTAAGTGGGATGAAACTTGCCCGGCGCTGTGGTAGACACCTGTAATCCCAGCTACTCAGGAGGCTGAGGCTGTAGGATCACATTTCAAGGCAAAACTACGCTGGGAGCAGGCCGGGGCGCTGGGAGGGAGGGCTTGCCCCGTCATGCCTCCCGTCTACACTGCACTGGTCACACAGGACTTGTTTATCTGCCCACCCGACTGTGGACTGTGAGCTGCTCTCAGACAGGAGCGGGGTCTCCGTCATCTTCCGTGACCCAGTGTCAGTAACAGCAACTAATAACAATTCAGGGCATTAAATATTTACCGCCACACCCTGCACTAGGAGCTCTGCACACATTATCTCAGTCCAAACTCTGGACCCAGGGTTACTATTAATCCTGCTTTGCAGATGGAGGCCCGTGGTTTGGAGGGGTTAAGTAATGTGCCTCAGGTCACACAGCTGTTCAGTGATGAGACCAGAATAGGAATTCAGGTGTCTGGCCACCGAGCCCTGATGGACAAACTCTCGCCAAATTGCCCAGGTTAGGTTGGAACTTGGGATCCTCCTGCCTCAGCCTCCCACAGTGCTGGGGTTACAGGCATGCACCACCCTGCCCAGACTGGAGGCTCACTTCTTTGGGGGGACCTACTGAAGAGAGAAACGCTGAGGAAGAGGGGCTCAGCGGCCGGAAGGGGAGGCAAACGATTGGAGGCAGACTGAGTTTTGGGGAGAGGCCTCGGACCTGAGGAGGTGGAGGCACCTGGGGTTGCAGCCCCACACACTGCCCTTTGTGCCTCTGCAGAGGGAGGCAGCCAGGGAGCTCAGCCAAAGGCCAGGCGGGGGTTGCGTCAGAGGGCTAAGCCCCAGATCAAATGTTGGAGATGGCAGGGGGGCTGGTTCCTCCGCCCGAGCTGCTCCTGCTGTCATTGGCCTTTCCAGACAGGGACGGGGCGTTACAGGAAACCCCAGGTCAGATAAGCTAGAGAAGGAAGAAGAGAAAGCTGGAAAGACCAGAGAACAAGGGAGCGCCCCCCACATACACTCCAGCAGCTAAGAGGTGACAGAGCCTTCAGCCAGCGGCATCCTTAGGCCAAGAGGGCTCCCGGAGGGTCCCCGATTCAGCAGCACCCACCATGCTGCCTTGCCTGGCCCTGCTTCTCCTGGCGGGCCTGTCCATGTGCGCCTCGGCAGGCCACGGCGGAGAGAAACTGGCACTCAGCACTGAAGAGCGGCCCTGGGTGACCGTGGCCCTGGAGGTACCTTTGCGGGGAGGCTCTGACCATGCTCTCAAGGGCAGGCAGTGAGGTTGGAAAACCCACCCCGTTTGGTGCACTGCAAGGCAGGTGGGCTGACCCTCTGTGGGCAGGTTCAAGGCCAAGACCCCTGGCCTGGCTGACCACAGAAGGAGTTCATGGCTTACACACATGGGAGCAACTGTGTGTGTATGTGCGTTTGTGTGTGTGTGTGCATGTGTGTCGAAGATGCACTTATTTAACACATTACTGGTAGCCTAGGTTCAGCTCCTAGTGTGGGAACTGTGTACCGTCTTTCGGGGGCTGTTGGCAGACGCCTGTCATCCCAGCACTGGGGAGGCTGAGGCAGAAAGATCACAGTGAGTTCAAGGCCAGCCTCAACTATGTAGCAAGACTCTGTCAAAAAAAACACAAAACTCCATATACTATGTTCTGATGCTTTCCTAAATCCTTTCTAAGCATTAACTCATTTAACCTTCTATCAACGTCATGGGAAAGTTTTGCAGATAAGGAAACTGAGGCACAGAGAGATCAGTTAGTTTGCTCAAGATTGCATAGCTCCAAAAGGACAGCTACATATCCTGTCCAAGGTGTGATGCTGATCTGTGTATAGTGCGTGCACGACTGTCCAGCCAGGGATCGAACTCAGGACCTTTTGCTTTCGAGGCAGGCAGTGGTACCACTGAGCTAAATCCCCGGCCAGTCCAATTTCCTTTCAAGAGGATTAGCACTTTTGTCTCGTATGTCCATAGAAACTCTTCCATTTCCTGACAAGTCCTGGTTTTACAGTTTTCTAAACTTCCTGGATGCTAAAAGTTGGAGACTCAGCATCTGCACCAACCCCAATCCCATCCCCAAATCTGAGATGATGATGGGGAGAGCCAAAGACCCTGAGCCTGGAGCTCCCATCAGAAAAGGAGAGGGAGGGACCTACCTCGGGGAAGGCTTGCAGAAGGGCATGGCCAGGCCAGCTCCTCCCATCTCCTGGGACGGTGAGGACACTGCAGCTGTCCTTGGCCTGGGGTCCTGGGCCTCAGTGAGGTCTCTGGAGCCACAGGAAGCGCCACAGCATGGATGGCTGTGCATGGTAGGCTCCTTTCTGGTTTGACAGGGAAAGTGTGGGCAGAGGGGAGAAGACAGCAGGCCTTGGAAACCAGGGTTCAAGTCTCGCTTCTCTACTGACTCCTGCTGCTCTTTGGACCTCAGTTTTGCCACCTGCAAAATGGAAGGGGGCAGACCATCCTCAGGCTACGTTTTAGGCTTGGTGGCTTTATGCTGTCAACATCAAACATCCGGGTTCCTGGGATGAAGTGGCTGATGATGGGGGACACACCTCCAGGGTGATCTGGTCAGCTCCTAGCTTCCAGGGCTCCACTGCAGCCCTCTCTGGAGCTGGGGGTTCAGGTCAACACAGATGTGGAGTGTTTTCTAGTGCCCCTCTGTCCCCAGCAATAGCTGTCGAGAGGGAGAAGGGTCAGCCCTGTTTAATTCGTATTAGGCCATTCTTTCCAACTCATGTTTGAAGCTGCCTTTTACCAAAGCAAAGTGGTTCTCTTGAGCTTTTCAGAAATGGGTCTAAATCTCCAAAGAGTCTTCTCGGGTTTCTGGCCAGGCTGGGCGACTCCAGCCTGAGACAGCTGCCTCAGCCACTGACGTCGAGGGAGGAGACAGATTAGAAGTGACTGAATTAGTCCAAGGCTTGGAAAACAGTCCCTCCGGATCCTGAAAGTTAGGACAAGATGCACTGTGAAAAGCATTTGGGTTTCATTACCCCCAGCTGGGTGCCTGTTGGTCCCTGGGATGGAGGACAGAGCCCAGCCCCAGCTCCCCAACTCCGGGCAGGACCAAGGAGCCCCTCTTCCGGGGGGGATTCAAGGTGAGGTCACAGGTCACTGAGTGAAAACTTCAGTCCGTAGCCTTGGTCAGGACATTTGTCCATTTAGGGTAAGGATTAAAATGGCCGTGGTCCACCGCAGAAACGCAGGATCTGGGGACGGTTAACTGCGTGATAAGAGGGGCAGTGCCTGGGAACAGAGCAGAGCCCAGGTAGAGGGGCTCTGGGAGTAGAAGCAGGTCCCCCTGGCCTCCTAGGGGCTCCCCCTGTGTCACAGGCAGCCCCCTCCTCGTCCATCCCAGTGAGTGAACCTGTGCTGGAAGTCACACTTGTGAACCGTGGTTCAGTCACTTCTTGTGTGTCTGGATAAGTCATTGAGTCACCTTCCGGCTTGGTTTCCATCTATGGGGGGCAGGCGGGAGAAGTCCCCTCTCTACTCTGATGGTGGCTGTGGAAACTGAGTGGGGTTCTGATTGTAGGATCTGACAGCCCAGCCTTTGCATCAGGTGGCCTGGGTTCCAGTTCTGGCTCCGTCCCTCACTTCCTGGCTGGAGAACTTCAGACACGCTGTGGAATCTCTCTGTACCTCTGTTTCCCTCTGTCAAGTGGTGACAGTAAGAGTACTGGGTACTGTGTGTGCCAGGAACATAGTAGGTGGGTTGTTAGCTGTTAATTATAATGCACAATGTGGTGTAACACAGAAGACTGGGTGTTGTGGTACACACCTGTAATCCCAGCACTCAGGGAGGCTGAGGCAGGAGGCCTGTGAGTTGGAGGCCATCCTGGGTTATTTAGTGAGTTCAAGGCCATCCTGGACTACATAGCGAGACCCTGTCTCAAAAAGCCAAAATAAAAGAGAGAAAATATTCAGCAGAGGCCAGCGCTGGCACAGAGCATGCATCTGATGACTGAGTGGCAGCTGAGTTAAGGCTCCTGCCTCCCACCTGTCTCCATGCCAACCTCTCCCATACTCCTCCACTAACTCTCTTCTCCAGGAGGTCCCTGTCCCGAGCATTCAGCTCCAGCTGCAGGAGGCCAGGCGGTTCTTTGGGCTGATGGGGAAGCGAGTGGGAGGTGAGTGACAAAGGTGGATGGGGCCCACAAGGGGTGGCTCTGAGTGGGTGGCACTGCCCAGCAGGGGCCCAGGGCTGAAGCCCTGCTCAGTGCTCCAGTCCTGTGGGGGCACGCTCTGGAGATGGGCAGGGGTGGACGCCAGGACACTGGGGCATGTCCATAATGATGACATGTGACGGGTGTAAGCAGGGGCTGTCCCCAGTGGACAAAGACTACGGGCATCCTACGGGTAGAGGCCACCACTTTGCCCCACAGTGGGTGCCCTGGCCTCCATATCTGGATGATTTTGAGGAGTGGCAGTGATTTGGAGACCAGCACCTAGACAGCAACAGTCTGGACAGAGAGCTATTTTCTCATAGCTTATCATTGATATTCTTTTTTCTTTTCTTTTTTTTTTAGTACTAGACTTTGAACCTAGGGTCTTCACACTGAGCTACATCCCAGTCCTTTTTATTTATTTATTATTTTGAGACAGGGTCTTTTTAAGTTGCCCAGGCTGGTCTCAAACTTTTGATCCTCCTGAGTGCTGGGATTGCAGGTGTGCACCATCAGGTTCAGCTTAGTATTCCACTTTTTTAAGTGGTCATGCTCAATGTTGGTGAGGGTGTGGAAGAAACTGGCACTTTTATTCACTGTTCATATCCCTCAAAGTCAGAAACACACGTGACTTTGACCAACTGTCTGACAACAGGGAATCTATCGGGGGATGTGATATTGCTACATGAGCTCTGAGATGTTTGTGCGAAACTATTCATCATGAAAGTATAATAGGAAGATTTGGAAATAACGGGAAGAACATTGCAGGGCAAAGATCAAAATATATTAGGCTCATCTGTAACCTTTGTGGACATTAAAAAAGATGAGTCAGGCCTTGCGCAGCGGTCCACAGCTGTAAATCCTAGCTACTCAGGAGGCTGATGCTGGAGGATCACGAGTTTGATGCCATCCTAGGCCACTTAGCAAGACCCTGTCTCTAAATGCAGTTTTTAAAAAGGGCTAGGATGTAGCTCAATAGCAGAGTGCTTGCCTAGCACACAGGAGGCCCTGGTTCCATTCTTAGTACTGGGAGGGGGCAGATCTGTGGAAAGATACAGAAGGGCTCCAAGATATATGGCTGCTGGGCCTGGTGGTGCATGTCTGTCATCCCACCACTTGGGAGGCTGAGGTAGGAAGATCCTCATGAGTTGGAGGCCAGCCCAGGCTACATAGTGAGTTCAAGGCCAGACTGTACTACATAGTGAGTCCTTGTCTCAAAAAATAAAAACAAACAAAAACAAGATATTTAGTTAAATGAGCAGGAAAGTTACAGAACAATGTGCATCATAGGAGCCTACTTGCTTTTTAAAAATTACATGTTACACATACATGCGCACGCGCACATATGCAAATGCGGGGGAAGGTTCCAGAAGAATAAACAGCAAACTGTAAACAGTGGTTCTGTCTAGGACAGGAAGTAGGGATGAGGGGAGAGAGTGAAAAGGGACTTTAATTTTTATTGTCCAAATCTTTACATTGCTTGACTTTTTTCAGTAGTGGGCATGGACTCAAGGACTGCCTTGTAATAAAAAATGCATATACAAATAGAGAAAACCAATGTGTGACCAAACATTTTTGGCCTTCATATCCTCTGCTACAAAATGAGTTTGAGCCTGGGCCACTTTAGAGATCTCTTCCAAATCCAACAGCCCAGAAGTGTAGGGCCGGGAGTAGAGGAGAGAGATTTCCTGAGCCCTGAGACGTTCACACTCCCAAGGTCCCCTCGTCACCAGCTTCAGTGGGGACTAAAGCTCCTCAGGTAACAGAGGACGCCCGCCCAGTCGGGGCCAGGCGTCAGTGGTGTATGTCGTCTTCGCTCCCTGTGCTCCACGCTGTCTCCTGCCAAGCACGCTCCTGCTGCCACCTGAGGACACCAGGGAGTGGCTGCAGCTCAGGGAAGACCCCTGAGCTTCACCAAGCCCCCCAGAAGTGCTCAGCCCTCGCTTCCCCCTCCTTCCCCCAGGTGTACCTCGGATCCAGTCAGAGCCAGCAGGTAGGTGTTGCCACCCCTGTGTTTTCCCTGGGGAGGGGTGGCTTGGCCATGCCAGGGGACGCCAGCCTGGCATGGCCAAGCCAAGGGCGGGGCCAGTGTAGTTTGGCCACCCGCCTGTTGGGCTTTGGGGTTGTTTCCTGGAGGGTGGTCTACACATGCCTGGGGTGCACTTGTGGGTGCCGGAGGAGACAGGGCTGAGTCTAGTTCCATCAGAGCTTCAAAATGACCTTGAGTCTGAAGCCTGGAGTTGGGAAAATGAGTCCACTACCAAAGATAAGAGTGCTTGGGGCTCAGTCCCCTGCACATAGCGGGGATCTGGGAAGTGCCAAGCTGAGTAGTGGTGGCCTGCCTGAAACCCTAGAGCAGAAAGGGGGAAACAAAGCCCAAGGGAAACAACCAAACTACGACACCCCATGTGCTCTTGGGATCACACCCAACCCCCTCAAGCATGAGGTTTAATGGAAGGAGCAGCAGCAGGAGGATCAATGGATAAACGACCTAGCACAGGATGGTTGGGCAATGACTGCATTTTCAAAGCCCAGCTTTGTGCTGGGTCTTGCTCCGCCTCGTTTCTCTCTGCTTCTCTCCTCCACCTCTCCTCTGTCTCTTGCCAGGGCGTCAGCTGGGACGAATGGCTCAAGGCCTCCTGAGCAGGGGAGGACTCTCCACAGAAGGTAGGCCAGAGCCTCTGGCGGGCGGCAAGGTCATGATGGGAAAGTGGACAGAAAAGACAGAAAAGACAGAAAAGATTCCCACAAGCCATCAGGGGAGGCCCTGTGGTGAGGGCAGCTAGGGGGCGAGGGGGCTCTGACGCCCCAGGACTGAACCCAGCTGTGCCCCCACCCCTCAGCCACCCAGGCACACTGCCCACCCCTGTATCCCAAGCAGGGCGCCCCTGCTTATTCCAACACTGGCTCCTAGAACTGAAGATGGGAATGGCCTCTGTTCTGCCCTGAGATTTTCTCAAAGTGAGCCCATCCATTCGAAGTGTCCCGGAAGCCTCCCCAATGCCAGATAGAAATGAGGGACCCTCCACGCATGGCAGAGCTTAGAAGCCGTCCTTTTTCGGAGGTGGAAAGTGAGCTAGTGACAGGACTGTGTGTCCACTTTCCTGGTCCATGGCACCTCCCAGGTCCCCAGGAGCACCTTAGGGACTTTGGAATGCCAATTCTCCGCTTTAGAGAGGAAAACTAGGGTCGGCTCCATCTCTGGTTCATGGCATTTGCAGTGGAATAATGAAGAGAGGTGAACCCAAGACTCACTGCCCTAGATATCTAGACAGGAGGAACACAAGTGGGAAACGGGGTGAAGGGCCCAGCCAAGACTCCCCTAACCACCAGCCTCCTACAGGCACAGAGGATGAGGACCCGGGTTCAGAGTGAGAGGCCCCACAGGATGCTTCCCTGAGGGTGCCGCCTCTTCTCTTCCGGGTGTCCCAGTGGACCAGGCAGCATGCCGACTCTACCCCGCGCCTCCTATCCTCGACACTGGCATTCCAAGCCAGGCCCACAGTGAACTCAGTGAGTTTCTTCTAGGACTCTCGGCATCGGGCAGTGGTGGTGTACAGATGTGCTGTCGCCCTCAAGGGCCGGAGCGACCCCGCTCTCCCTCCCACTTCCATGACAGCACCACGGGGCCAGCCTCGAACTCTGTACCCCACACCCGGCACACAGTCGGGACCCAATAAATGAATGACCAGTGAGTGGCTTCCTGTGTGATGCGGGGCAGAGGGCGGGAGGCCGGCAGGCCAGGAGAGTTTCCAGAACTGCAAAGACTACACAGCCCAGGGACTGTTCTCCGGTGGGGAAAAAACCTTGGGACACAGGAAGAGCAGGGAAGAAAGCAGGAGTTATTTCAGAGTGGAAGCTCCAGAGCCCAGCCTGTGGGCTGTTCCCCGCAGGGTGAGGAACACAGGGGTTCAACTCCACGTGTCTCCTGTGGAGGGGAACTGGGTCCCAGGTCACTGCCAGTTCTCCCGTACAAGGCGGCCCTGCATTGTCTGCTTGGCTTTCAGGACAGGCTGTGGTCCTCGGCCAAGAGCTCCCAAGGAACGGAACAGCTCCCACCTCCCATCGGCCTCTGGTACACAGGCCCTCGTCCCTGTGCTGAGGCAGGGAGGGCACAGAGGACTCCAGGATGCTTGGAAAGGCCACAGCCCAAAACGAAACCCTAGGGGAAGCCTACGGAATGAGAGGGGCTGGACTTTGGCTGAGCTGGATGTGGGGCTCAGCAGTCAACAAGATGCATTTTATTCACTAGACTACAAAATGCTTAGCTTCTCCATGGCCTTCTCTCCAAATAGGAAATGTGTTATTCTGGGCATGTGATTTTTTTTTTTTACTTCCTGGTACTGGGGATTGAACCCAAGCCCCTAGCTGCATCCCCATCTCTCTTATTTTGTTTTTGGAGACAGGGTCTCACTAAATTGCTACATTGCTAAATTTCTTAAGCTGTGCCACACTTGGTCTAGGCATTCAATTCTTTGTGATAAGGGACAGGGATGGAGGTCGGGGTAGGCTGTATTTTAAAAGGAAAGGAAAGCCAGGCGTGGTGGCACATGCCTGTAATCCAGCACTTAGGAGGCAGGGGCCAGGACTGGCATGAGTTCAAGGCCAGCCTGAACTTCATAGTGACACCCTGTCTCAAAAAGTCAAAACTAACTAAATAGACAGAGAGGAAAGCCAAGCACAGTGGCCCATGGCTGTAATAATCCCAACTATTTGGGAGTCTGATATAGCCAGATCATGAGTTCAAATCCAGCCTCAGCAGTTTAGCAAGACCCTTTCTCAAAAAAAGAGCTGGAGCTGAGTCTGGGAAGCTGAAGCAGGAGGATCACAAGGTCAAATCCATGCCGGGAAACTCAGTGACTCAGTGAGACCCTGCCTCAAAGTAAAAATAAAAAAAGGCTGGAGATATAGCTCAGGGCAAATGCCCTGGGTTTGATCCCAGGAGACACAGCTAAGTGGCAGAGCACTTGCTTTGCGTGCACGAGGCCTTGGGCTCAATCCCCATTACTGGGGAGAAGAAAACGACATTAGTAAGTAACAGGAGCTCCTTAGTGAACACAGTCCACTCTCAAACTCAGTATGTCCCAACACTGACATCTGATCTGTGTCTTCTAATGGCACCTGATACACTCAGCTGCCAAGGAGTCTCCTGCTCCTCACCCACACCTCCCCTGGCTCTTGATCTCCCCAAATCTGCCTCAAACTCATCCACCTCTGCCCTCCTCACTCTCACCGCTAATGGAAGCCACCTCCACCCACTGCTAGGGCGCAGTGGCCTCTTCACAGACCTCCTTGCTGTCCATTTTACCAGCCACCCACCTGTTCTTCCTCCACTGTGACCTTTCGAAGCTGGGAAACCAGCTCATGTTCAGCCCTCTGGCCAGCTTAGGAATGCTGTCCTAGGCTCAAGGCCCTGTGCTCTCTGGTCTCTCCCTGCAGTGACGCTCACCATCAGTGTCCCGACTCACATGCCACACGCTTGCTGACTGGGGTCTGGACACAGGCCCGATCTCTTGCTTATCCCAGGATATTCAGACCCAGAACAAAGGCCCTTTTTAAGACTCAGCGTCCTAGTTCCCAAGCTCAACTAATTCCCTTCTGCTATGCTTTGACAATATTTTGTCCCTCTCTCTTATTGCTCATATTAGAAACAATACACATTTAGCATGTTTTCTCCAGGAGACTGGCAATCATTGGTGTATCAGCATGTATCATATACAGGGCCACTGCAATGGCACCCATAATATCTACTAACTGAATGTATGTAATGCATTCGGCAGGTGACAGTGAGCCACGCACCTGAAATTACACAGGAAATGAAGGCCAGGCACTGAGCCAAGATGGTTTCATGCCATATAAGCCCAGCCTGAACATTTCCAAGTCACAGGTGTTATGACAAGGATGGCTCCAAAGCAACTGCTTTTTAGCTGTGCCCATTTCCCGAAGTCTGAGCCCCCACATACCAGCCCAAGAGGCTCCTTCCTGATGAAATCATTTTAGGAACTGTTACATCCTTTCTCCCTCTTGGAAAACCCCAATGCTCATTAGCTTACTGAAGGTTTGGAGAAGGATGTAAGTCAGGAAACATACCAGTATTTAACTTGGGGTGTTTTCCAAATTTATTTGACCACAGTGGCCCTTTTGCTCATACTTTGGTATTTAATGGAACACATTTGGGGACAGCTGGAATAGAGGCTTTCCCAGTAAACAGAGGAGGGATAATGGGGTGATCCAACTGCAGGCGGAGGCGATGTGTAAGCGATGGTGGAAGCTATGTGGGTTGAGTCAGCTTATGGAAAGGCTTGGAAGCCAGGATAAACACGAACCAAGCCAATGAACTAAGGGAGCCACATACATTCTTGAGCAAGGAACTGCTGGGCCCAGTCTTCACTCTTCCTGACCCACTTAGGGAGGTGGCTAAGACTCCTAAGGTCAACCAGAGGCCTCAGAGGAATCTGACTGACAGCTGATAATGCTGAGTGGCCAACCTGGGGCTGAACTGAGTGTCACGTGCGTAAGGACAGCTCAAAGTGGGCATTCTCCTCGGCGCACGCCTTCCAGTCACAGGCCAGGGGCTGACGGTGACAACAGGGCCAGACCCAACCCCAGCCATTTAGTTTGAGTGCTATGGACTCATTCCAAAACGTGGTTTAGAACAGTTGGCCTCTCAATTTCACAGGCTGGTGGGTCTCAGCTGGATGTCTCGTTAGCTTCCTGTGGCATCAGCAGGGGGCGCTCACAAGGCCTTGTTCTGGGATGGCCGCCTCCAGGAAACCTTAGTGTGGGGTTTTGGTGCTAACTGGAGCGCCTCAGCTTACCTACCATGGTATTATAGGCTTTCTCCTTGCTCAGCAGTTTACCTCAAGCTTCTGCTTTGGAAACATATTAGCTCAGTGGAAATAGCAAAATGCGGAAGTTACTAGAATGCTACTTCCATAACATTCATCAGTCAAGATACGTCACAAAGCAGTCTGCCTGCACTAGGAGAGGAGGAAAAGCACACCAGTTATTGGAAGAAGCAGCTCACCCACGTAGGCGTGGAGCAACTGTTGGCTTTGGAGATACCTGGAAGACTTTTCTGACCACTTTGGAATAAATGGGGGTGCTGTGCTCAGAAACAGGAACAAAGACTGGCTTCTTGGAATGAACGTAACTTTTTGAGGATAAAGGTGTTTATATCACACAGGGAACACTTGGGAGGAGCCATGGAGCCAAAGTTGAACAATAGCATGGGCTATTTTCTTCACTCTTGGGCACAAATAAACAAGCCCCCAGCCCCCAGGTGGTGGTGACATGGCATGTATCTATCGGTATTGCCCAAGAGGGAAGAGACAGACCGATGTGCTAGCATCGGGGCATTTTCACCACTGGGTGATCCTTTGTTTCCTTCTTAGTGACATTTGCTGGCATGGCTGAAGACACCACAAGGGAAGGGAGCAATTAAGCTGCCCCCATCAACAGGAAACGGTCTGAAAGAGGCAGCCATCCACGTTTGGAGCCAAAAGTGCTGGAGAAAAACCAGCTGAGGTCCAATTCTAGAATTCCATGATCCCAACGAACAGCAAATGTCGTTTCTAAAATCCCAGCACACATCACAGACTATTATTTAGCAGAAGGGGTTGTTGTAGTTCATTCTTGTGACACACAGACCTGTCCATTTTGTCCATGTGTCCCGGTGCGGCCCATTGGGAGGAAGGAAGCTCATGGCGAGCCACAGGCAGAAAGCATTCCTGGGGCTTTTCAAACCAGGGCTTCTTAACCTCCTGTCCAGGAATGGACTTCAAAGGCATAATTTCCTAAACTGCAAATGTGCTATTTGCATAGGTGCATTAAAAAAAAAATCCAGTGTTTTGATCAGATTCCCAAAGGTCAGAAGCAAACAAAGCAGGTAAAGAGCAAGGCTGCTGTTTCACCTGCCACCTCATAAAAACCCTCTGTTGCTTTAATGCCAGGACCTCAACTGCTTGTCCAGGACTAGGCAGTGAGATTGAGGACTACCCTTGAGAAGTCAACACACATCCAAAGAGCCGTCTTCCTCTGCTCCGTGTTCCGGAAGGAATGCGAACAGGGAGCAAGCTGTGCTTGAGCTCTGTATCCTGGCTTTAAATGCCACGTGGCCCCAACCTTGACCTGGACCAACTGGCTTGACGTGGACAGCTCTACTCCAGGTCATCCCCAGCCCCAGCCGTGCAACCTGTCAGAGCTGTGGGGACCAATAAAGGTGAAGCCGAGTCCAAGCACCCTGCCCTCTGCAGGGTACACTGTGTCACTAAGAAGTACCGTGACTTACTATTCCTGTGTGAGAAACCGGACAGCAGCGGTGGCACCAGGACCAGAGCTCATGACAGTGTTGTCCGAGTATGGGATCTGGACTCCGAGAAGTGAGGCTCTCATTCTATTGCTGCTACTTACTCAGCAGCGGGACCTCTGTGAGCCTCAAACCTTCTCATCTGGAAAAAAGGGATCTAATCTCTACTTACAGCATTATGAGAACTGAAGGGAGCGAGCAGGCACAGGGCCAGTCTGCTCCAGAAGCGGAAGCAGGGCCAGAGCGAGGCACGTCTTTTGCTTCTTGGTTTCACCCTCTGGCCCCCAACTTGCTGCTGCTAAGATCAACTAAAACCAACTTATTTTCTGGGAGTTTCCACCAGCTTCATCCATATCACTGCAATGGAAGCCTGAACAAGGACTATCT